TTATTGATTTTGAGAGGGGTTCTCTGTGCCTCCGGGATTTTGAGGCCTGTTTCCTTCCCCACATTAGGGAAGTTCTCTGCTATAATTTGTCCCAATATACCTTCTGCCCTCCTCTCTCTTTCTTCTTCTTCTGGGATCCCAATTATTCTAATGTTGTTTCATCTTATGGCATCGCTTATCTCCTGAATTCTGCCCTCGTGATCCTGTAGTTGTTTATCTCTCTTTTTCTCAGCCTCTTTACTTTCCATCATTTGGTCTTCTATATCGCTGATCCTCTCTTCTGCCTCATTTATCCTAGCAGTTAGTGCCCCCATTTTTTATTGCACCTCATGAATAGCCTTTTTGATTTCGACTTGGTTAGATTTTAGTTCTTTTATTTCTCCAGAAAGGGTTTCTTTAATAACTTAAAAGCTTTTTTCAAGCCCAGCTAGTATCTTTAAAGTCATGATTTTGAACTCTAGGTCCGACATCGTACTAATGTCCGTATTGAGTAGGTCCCTGGCTGACGGTACTACCTCTTGTTCTTTTTGCTGAGGTGATTTTTTTTCGTCTTGTCATTTTGTCCAGAGGAGAACAGATGAACGAGAGAACAAAATGCTAACAGGTTTACAACGTCCTCAGCAAATGTACTCTATAGAAATCAGAAAAGACATGAAACCAGGGGACAAGAAAGGGAAAGAAGAGAAAAAAAAAAAAGGAAAACGAAAAAGATAAAAACAAACAAAAACAGAACAAAACAAAAAAAAACAATATGATCAAATATGATCAGGGTAGTGCATAGATCAGTGCCACACACTAGATTTTGGGCGTATTTTGGTCTGTTAGAAGATAGTGCCTGCTAAAATTTTAAAGGAGGAAAGACATATATGTACAAAATAAGGGTTGATACAATGAAGGGATGGCAGATGACTGTAAAGATGAAAATTATAAAAGATTTTATAAAAGAAATTGATATGCTAAGAAGTTGTTTGAAAAAAGAAAGATAATTTAAAAAAAAAGAAAAAGAAAAAAGAAAAAAAAAGGGAGAGAATGTGATCAGGCAGGAGACTAGAATAAAGCCATACACTAGTGACTTAGGGTATATTTTGATCTGTTAGAAGAAACTATCTCAACATTTTAAAGAGAGAACAACTTACATATATATACATATATATATGCCAAAAATAAGGGTAACTATTATGGAAGGGATAGAAATATGACTCTAAAAATGAAAAATAAAAAATGTTTTTTTTAAGAAAGGGATTGATAAGATGTTGGTTGAAAAAGGGAAAAAGAAAAATTAAAAAAACAGTTAAAAAATTAACTCTGAAAAACTAATGAATCATGGTAAAAAAGCCATGAATTCTATGTGCAGTATTCCCCTAGCGCTGGAGTTCTCCCGTTCTCCTTGATCGGTAAACTTGGTCTTGGCTTGCTGGCTGTTCGTGCTGATCTTCTGGGGGAGGGGCCTGTTTCCGTGGTTCCCAAATGTCTTTGCCGGAGGCGGAATTGCCCCGCGCTTGTCGGTCCGGGCTAAGCAAGCTGCTCGGGTTTGTTCTCAGGAGCTTTTGTTCCCTGCAAGCTCTGGTACAGCTTTGGAGGACCAGGGTGAAAATGGTGGCCTCCCAATCTCCACCCGGAGGAGCTGAGAACTCGGGGCCCCTGCTCCTCAGTGCGCCCCCAGAGAAAAGCAGTCACTCCCGTGTCCCCGGTCTCTGGCCGCTCTCCGTGCTCACCTGGCCTGTGACCGAGCGTTGCTATCTCTGGCACCCGACCCCGTGTGGAGTCTCCAAACCCAGCAGATCCCTGCAGTGCGTTCCCGCACCGCTCCTCCCCGGGGGAAGGAGGGGAGTCTCCCTGGATCTGGCGCCTGCTGGGTCCCTGCTGGAGGAGCAGTGGCCCGACTGGGCCGCAGATCACAGTCTATGGCCACCCCGAGCTGAGATCCCACGCCTCGGCTCCGTCTCTGCAGCCGGCTTCCCCGCTCTGATACCTGGGAGCTCTGGCGCACTCAGGCACCCCCGGTCTCTCTGTGACCCCGAGGGTCCTGAGACCACACTGTCCCACGAGGGTTCCACCCCCTGCTTAGCCACTGGAGCGACGTCCCTCCGCGGAGCCGATTTCTAAAAGGTCCGATTTTGTGCTCCGCGGCTCTATCACTTGCCAGAAGTGGCCAACGGAGGCCCCCTCCCCCGCCGTCTATCCTCCGGAATATCGCCTCGGATTCACTTCTCCGCACGTCCTACCTTCCAGAAAGTGGTCGCTTCTCTGTTCAGAGTGTTGTTACTCTTCTCTTCGGTCTCCTGTTGAGTTCGTAGGTGTTCAGAATGGTTTGATCCCTATTCAGCTGAATTCCTGAGACCAGACGAAATCCAGGTCTCCTGCTCCTCCGCCATCTTGCTCCGCCTGCCCATCTATTTACATTTCTAGTGAAAATCCCACACCCTCCTTTGCTAGCATCTTCTGGCGTTAACTCTCGTTTGAGGTAAATGTGTTCTTTACTTGGCCTTCTGAATGCCCCTCCTCCATTGTGATGTAGGACAAGTATGTAATTGCATTTCAGGGTAATGAAATTCTGAAGGTCATTCAGAGGCCTGCAGGCTGAACATCAGCCTGGCTGCTTCGCTGCTCATAGGGCCCTGGTCTTCGTGTCTTCAGTGCTCTCTAGACGGTTCCTTTTTGTTGAGGAGGAGTTTCCTGGATGGCTGGTGTGTGGTGCTCTGTCTGGTGCAGCGGCAGGAAGACAGTAGCAGGGGTGCTTGTTGCAAGCAGGTGGCATGGTAGGTGGAGGTGGACATGGAGGGATCTAAGAATCCACGTGGCCAGTTACCAGCGGATTCACTTTCCAGACAAGGTTACAGTGATCTCTTGGGGAGCAGTGTCCTACCACGCGAAGGTAGTGTGAACGAGAAGTGGTGGTAGTTTTACACATCTTAGATTCATAGCATTTAGGAAATGCAGGGCTCAGCACGGGGATGCAAGGCCTGTGCTTGCAGAGTACTGCTGAGTCTGTGTGTGCACCAAGTGCAGACTGGCCTGCTGCATCCCTGATGTGCTGATGTGACAAAGTGCGCATGCGTTTAGAAGCTTTGTCAAATCACTAGCTTTACTGTCCTGAGTTTTCTGAGGTGGTGCCCAGAGCTCAGCACCGCTCCGTCAGGGTCTATGAAATGGTACGACACTATAGCCCGGCCTGGAGCGCTCTCATGTAGTGGAAAAGGTCTTGTTTCACTGCACATTTCGCTTCCTGATTGTCAAGTGAGGTTATTGCTGACATCCCAGTTTTGTCTCCAGTTACAATGATATTCTGCATTTATTGCCCAAGTAAATGTAATACTTCAGTTACTGAATAATAAGGATCTGAAAACATTGTGGGTGTATGTGAGTAGGAATGGCTACAGTAAGAGGAGATTTGGCCTAGTTGTAGGACGCAGAAAGGCCTCTCACCAAGTGCTTCGTGCAAGGGGGACTGGCTGGACGAGGTGCAGGAAGAACGTGGCACAGAGAGGGAAGAGATACGCAAAGGCCACGAGGCAAGGTGGATAGTGTGGTAAATCTTCATTGTGATGGTTTATTTGACTTTTCATTGTTATTTCAAGTTTTTTTTTTTTCCATATTTTTCATTGGTATTTTAGAGGGATGTTGAGGGAGGCTGTGTTACCTGTTCTGCCAGATTTCAGTTTTGAATATGTGGCTTCATATATAGTTTTAATTAGCTTGTTAAATTTACTTGGACATTATGTGATTTCAGAGATATTGCTGAGCTGTGTTTATGTCATTAGAGATCATTTTGCCTAAAATTTTCGTCTTCCTAAGAACTTAATCTGAGAAGGGGCTCCTGGGTGGCTCAGTCGTTAAGCGTCTGCCTTCGGCTCAGGTCATGGTCCCAGGGTCCTGGGATCGAGCCCCGCATCAGGCTCCCTGCTCGGCGGGAACCCTGCTTCTTCCTCTCCCACTCCCCCTGCTTGTGTTCCCGCTCTTGCTCTCTCTCTCTGTCAAATAAATAAATAAAACCTTTAAAAAAAAAACCTAATCTGAGAAGTTTAATTTAATAAACAGTGGATATTTTTATTTGCAACTCATTAAACATCACAAAGTTTGTGCTGCATGTAAATTTGTAGTGTCACTTATAAAGTTACATTGGCAGCAGTTAAATATTGAAACCTTATTTTAGAAATCTCCGTGAAGAATTCTGTTTGAAAATACTCTTAAGTGCGGAGGTACACAAAGTAGGCCATAGGCCGTGCCCTCTGGAGATGTGAGTGTAGTGTGGACTCTGCAGTTTCCTCATTACCAGCAGTGGCCAGGATGTATGTGCTTGTGAGCACAGGTCGTGCTGAGGACACTGCCCACACCTTTATACATAAAAATTCAGCAGAGGTGTTGCTTCTGCTCACGGACTTCCCACGTGGTGTGGACGGGGCTGCAGGTGTGCAGAACACGTGGGGAGGCAGGCATGAAGAGCATGGTGCTCCTGGGCACTTAACGCAGTAAGGTTTTTGTTTAGCTCACACGTTTTGCTCTTACAGGTCAGATTTCTTGTGTTTCCTTCCTCATAATCTTGTAGGTGTTAAGTATAGTTACAAGAAATATCCAGTATTGTGCTTGAAGCACAATAGATGGGAGAACTCTATGAAAGCACCTCTATTAGTATATAGCTTATTCAAATTAACTTATAATATCGTATGATAGAACTTAGAGAAGACTGTATAATAAAACTTCATTTATGGGAACTATCTTCCTTCTCTACAGATTTGGAAGTTTTTGAATAAGGTAGGCTTATTCCCTCCCTTGTTAAAGAAAAATGATGTTGTTTTGAAGAAATGCTTGGTTTTGAATCCTGTATTACGCTGGGTGACCATTTATACCATTGGATTGTAGCTATTACGTCTGTAGTCTGTAGAGATGTGAAACTAAGTTCTTTAAGCATTTTATGTATAAGAAATAAGAATTTAAGACGTGATAATTCACTTTGGAAAAGAATTTCTTTTTCATTTTAAACAGAATCTTCCTTTTTTCAGGATTCTAAGCTGCCTTCCTCGGTTCGCAGTACACTTCTGGAACTGTTTGGTCAAATAGAAAGAGAGTTTGAAAACCTTTATATTGAAAACTTAGAATGTGAGTATCTCCTGTCTTCATAAACTTCTATAAAATTTTTGGGTAGACATCACCACTGTATCTGTTTTCTGTACTTCTGCATCACGTGTAGTGATTTAGAATAACATAAATTTATTATCTTACAATTCCTTAGTCAGAAGTCTGTGTGGCAATGTCACCAGACTCAAATCAAGGTGTTGGTAGGGCTGTGCTCCTCTGGAGGTGTGAGAGGGGAGGAGTCTGTCTTCTGCTTGTTTGCATTGTGGCAGATTTCGGTTCTTTGCAGTGTGAGGACGGAGGTATTCATCTTCCTGTTGGCATTCCCGGTATCTAGAGCCTGCCTCGCTCTTCACCTTGAAGCCCTTCTACTCCCGCCTCCAAAACCATCAGCAGCGGGTAGAGTCCTCCTGGCGCATCCCTGAGTCATTCCTAAGGACGTGAGGGAAGGAAGGGTCATCAGGTCATGCAGGGTGACCTCCTCATTGAAGATCCCTTACCTTAGTCACATCTGCAAGGGCTCTTTTGCCATGGAGGCCACATGTTCACAGGTTACTTTTGGGATGGGTAGTATTCTCCTGACAACACTTTCCCATTCAAATTGTGATTTTATGAAAAATAAATATATCTTATAACCGTTCCTACATAAAGTATATCATAAATTGAGAAAATGTTGGTTCGTGTTTCTCTTTAAAATATACTGTATTTTGAGAATTTCCTAAAATGTATTACCTGTTTGACTTACTAAAGGTAAATCAAAGAATTTTTAAATTAGCTTAGCTTTAGTTTCTCTTTTTAAGTTTATTTGAGAAGGAATGTCTTCCTTTGCTTAAAGAATCAAGCAGCATAGGGACTCCTGGCTGGCACATTTGGTGGAGCATCTGGCTCTTGATATTGGGGTCGTGAGTTTGAGTCCCACATTGGGTGTAGAGATTACTTTAAAAAACAACAAAGGAGTATAAAAAGATAACTACCATTACCCTTACCTTTTGACCCATTCCATTCTGCAAAGGAAAGCATTCTGTGTGCTTTTTGCTTTTAATTCTTGTGATTATTTTTGTAAACTGAATCCACTTTTACTTTTAGCTTGTCAGCTTTAGGCCACGTGCACTCATGCCTCCCTCTGAAATGTCAGGAAACAAACCTATCCTTTACCCATTCATTGCTCCATTACTTTATAGTGTTTGTTATTTTTATAGGGTTTGTGTTGAAATCTATATTATGCGAATGTAACTGTTATCTGGTCTTCATGCTTTATACTGTGATTTCAGAAATTTAATCCTAATAAATAGCATTTCCATTATTAAAATATTTTTTCTTTATTAATATATAATGTATTATACTAAAATATTTTCTATTCTAGAACTGAATGATGTAGTTGAATCAGTAGTGAAGAGAATGTAACCCTGTGTCATTTAAACTCTGCTAGTGGACAATTTAATGTTTTATTTTTGGATTCTCTTTATAAGTCCATCTTGGAAATTTACAGAGGGAGAAATTATTCCAAGTTTTTATAAAGTAAAAATTAGGTACTGTGCACTACTTCTGATCTTAAGGTTTTTGTTTTTTTTTTTTTAAGTATCAGTTGTAATGACCCAGGCGCTATTGAGTTTCTATTGTGATCTAAGGCCTTATGTTTTATGAATTCATGCAGTTTGTTCAAGAAAAACGATAGAATTACAGGGGCGCCTGGGTGGCTCAGTCGGTTAAGTGTCCAACTTTTGATCTCAGCTCAGGGTCATGAATTCAAGCCCTGTGTTGGCCTCCATGTGGAGCCTACTAAAAAAAAAAAAAAGAGAAACTATAGGATTACAAATGACTATGCTAGAGGAACTTGAGTTTACACAGTCTCCTGCTGCCTGGTTTGGATGGCTCCCTGCGCTCTGTGAGGAACAGTCTAAAGCGCTCAGGTGGATCTGCTCAGAGCCTCTGCCCTCAGCCTCTGCTGCCTGACGCAGCCCCTGCATCTCACGGGAGCCCGAGTAGAGGGTGCACGGTGCTGGCAGGTGTCATGGCATGGTGGCAGGTGTGCAGCCCTGGTGTGGGGGGCTGTGTGGCCAGGTCATGGTCCTGCTGCCTTGCTGCAGTGGCTCGTGTCCTTGGCCGAGTCCCTTCCCCAGGTGTCACTCATCCTGTGGTCCGCAGGCCTGTTCCAGAGAAGAGCACCAGCACGAGTGTGTCTGCTGATTCCCTTGATGACTCATGGCCTTCCTCTTCCTTCCTTCCCTGATGGTTCTGTACTTGTAGTCATGTTTCATAACTCCCTGAATTGTCTGTCTTCATTAGATACCATCCTTGTCTGGGGCTCTGTGTTGCCACACAGCAGAGTTACATTTTGTTATGGTATGTGTTTTCCCCCAATTTCAGTGTTCTCAGCTAGACTGTACAAATTTCACTGAATTTTGGATAGTATCAGAAAAAAGTGTTTTTATTTTTTATTTTTTTTTAAAGATTATATTTATTTACTTGACAGAGAGACACAGCGAGAGAGGGAACACAAGCAGGGGGAGTGGGAGAGGGAGAAGCAGGCTTCCCGCCGAGCAGGGAGCCTCATGCGGGGCTCGATCCCAGGACACTGGGATCATGACCTGAGCTGAAGGCAAACGCTTAACTATTGAGCCACCCAGGCGCCCCAGAAAAAATGTTTTTAAGTGTACAGAAGAAAGTACAAAGGAGATGACCTAGACTGAGGCCCCGGAGCCCTGCCTGTGTGCCCTGACAGCGCAGTGTCTTCCCGGTGCGGGGAGAGGGCTGGAGTTTGCATTCTTTGAAAGGTGTCTTGAGGTTTGTGAGAACTCTAGGAACTGTGATCTTGTTTCTTAGGGTACTATTCATGTCTGTGTTGAGACAGTACTTCTCTATTAATGTTTTTATGTACTCGGGTTTTGGAAGTGGCATGTGTTACCTTTCTGAAAAAAACTTTTATTCCCAGTGCGTAGGGAAATCGAGACTCTTAATGAACGTTTAGCTGCTGAAGGACAAGCGATCGATGGGGCGGAACTGAGTAAAGGCCAGCTCAAAACGAAAGGTAAGGATGAACACTCATAAAAGGATTGCCCTGCACATTCTGTGTTGGGGGGAGTTTGGACTTTAGTGAAGGATGTGGATTGATGGGCTTTGTGCAGTGGGCAGGACTCGGGGCATGTAATCAGCATGGGTGTAGAGGAAAGGAGGAAGCACCAGGAAGCTTGGCTTCCTGTTGTAACCGTGCTCTGGCCCACACGACCGTGTGGACAGGCCCTCGCGGGTGACTGTCTTCCTGTGTGGGATGACAGATGGGGTTTGCTGTCCCCAGTCTGTCCCTACTCTTGACGAATATTCTGTGGCCCTGTGGTTGTACAGTGTTCCTGACTGTTGCTTCTTTGTCTCTGCAGCCAGCCATAGCACCAGCCAGCTTTCACAGAAGCTGAAGACCACTTACAAGGCCTCCACCAGCAAGGTATGCCGGGCGCTGGCTCTTGGGCCGCTCCTGTGGTATTTGAGGTGTGCAGATGTGTACCTGAAGCTGCATATTTTCCAGTTAGAAATGTGTAACAGACAAAGAGGAACTTCTGCTGTTTAGAGAAATTGGATTTTTGCAGGGAATATCGTAGGTATGTTAAGTGGCCACAGCCTCTGGACACCTAGATGCTCCTCTGCCCGGGTCCTTCCTGAGAGTCCAATGTTGTGCGTGAGTAAATAGATTGTCTTTTTTGAGGGAAGAGACAGTTTGTATTGTTCTGTGGCTTGATGCAGAGGCTCTGAGTTTGGAGAACGGGACTGGTGAGAAGCAGTCTGGGCCACAGTCACGTTTTCCTGTTTAGCCTCCTCTTCTCTCTCATTTTCTAAGGATCATGCAGAAGTGAAGGTCTGTCTCCAAGGCTCGTAAGGACGGTGGTGGTATCTTGTTTTTTTAAAAATTATCTTATTCTGACCTTCTTAAAGTGGCAAGAATTTAATCGTTTGGGAATAAGTTTATCTGGGAGGGAGGATTGCTGTAAGGTAATATTTTAAAATGATTTCGTGTACATCTTTACTTTGGAGTATTTTGAATGTACAAAAGTTAAATTAATTATCTAACTGTAATAAATGGACATTCCTTTTGCTAAACTTGAGGGAAAAGCTGACATTTGTGGTGTGCTATGACAGCATAAAGAGTTCTTGTTAACTTTCTATATTTCCAGTTTTTCCATGGAGCTTGAAGTTACTGAGCATGACATCCACAGCGAGATTAACTACGATTAATAGAGCAGATTCAGTCTTATGGCTACTTCTGCTTATTTGAAAATTCTTAGTACTTGTTTGGTATTAAAAAATATGAATATTGATTACCTTTTCTTCTGTTTTCTTTGATAACTCTGCAGTATAAGTGGTTCATTAAAAATTTTTTTTATTATGTATTATCTAGCTTATACTTACTAGTTTTTAAGTTTAAACAACTTTAAACCTGTCAAAATGTATTGTAAGATTATGTTCTTCCTCACCTAACTTCTCGTTTTATTATCTTGACTTATATTGTTTATTCCAGTGGGTACAGCATACATATTCAACATACAGTCTTAGAATTTGGAAACCTTCAGAGCTTTTCTGAAGTAGGTGAAAGGAGTGTATAAAGTTGTCCCTTACTAGCAATAATGAAAAACAAGATTTGGGCCAAGGGAAGGATATGTACTATAATACTTGGCTTAAAAAAAAATGTATTTAAATATATTTAAAGCCCCAGTCATTTTAGATCCACAAATTAATCTCTGTGTATAAGAAACATGTAATTAATGATCTTTATTGTGTGCATTAAAGAATAATGTTGTAAGATGTTAGCTGAAAATTGAAGAAAGACTCTGATACCAGAGTATATTCTGATCCATGCTGCAGTGTGTGTATTCTTGGTGGTAGCACTAAGTGTGTGTTCAACAAGGAGGTAGTGAGCTTGAAGGCAGCATTACCTGCCTCCTCACTCAGCCCTGACAGCAACTAGTGTGCTTGGTGCTTGGTGTACCCACGTGCTCTCAGCAGACCAGAAGACTTGGGGGCCTGAGGATGGATCGCTCATGTCTGTCCAGGGCTGGAGGCATGCCCATCTAACTGGCAGTCACTCTAGAGAAACTTGTGAAATGTTCACACATGTTTTTATAAAGATGACTGTCTCTCACTGTGAAGAACCCCTCTCTGATTTTTGTTGAAGTACTTGAGATTGTATCTTAATTAAAACCGTAATTAGGTTGATAGGCGTAAGCATCACTTTGTCACTTCGTTCTGCTTTTCTGTCATGAATGTTCACTCTGCAAGATCGAGTCTTTTGTGGGGCCTCTTTGCTGTTGCGATGGAGTCAGGATTTTTAAGAACAAAGAGTTAATAGGTATTCAAAGTGTAGTGGGCAGTTGGAAGCAACACGTGAAATGATTTGTTACAGTATTCATAAATTGCATATTGTCCACTTGCAAAATCCCACTGGAATCGGGGTTGGCATGAGTCTTGAGCAGTGACCTTCTGTTCTTCCTGTCTGCGTGGGGTTGGCGAGGAGCGTGGCTTCAGTAGCTCATGTCTCCGGACAACAACGTCTGTGTTAGAAATGGCAGGAGGCTTCGCACTTACTGTGGGGTAGGCTTTGCACGTTCTCCAGCTCCATTCTGTCCTACGTGTTACGTTCTTGAACATCCGATTGGCACCTTAGGCCAGCCAAAGCACTTTCCTTGTCATGGAGGGACGGTTTCGCTAGTTTGGGTGGGGTAGGAGCTTTCAGAGGGAAAAAGAAGATGACGGGTTTGTGTTTGAGCAAGTCCTTTTGTAAAATTCAAACCGAGTCAGATGTATTTCTTCCAAAAGAGCCTGTCTTTGTTAAACATGTTTTAGTCATTCTCGGCGTCAGAGGACAGTTTGAATGTTCACACCCAAATTGATGTAACAGTAGATTGTGTTGTAATGTCTTTATTCTAAGAATGAACTTAGATTCATTTTCAGGGCTTTGCTAAATCAGTGTTTGAAATAGCTGTTTAACACCAAGTTTTCTTTTTCACTTGATTTTATAGTTTCATTATTCTGATTAATCTCCATTATTCTGATTTGCTTAAAAGCTGAAAAGTTGTTCTGTCTGAGAACAGTTTAAAAACCAAACTCTGAAGAGTTGTGTTTCATTAGTTTCTTTCTCATGCACTTCTGTTTTTCCTTGTACGAGAAAGTGGGATTTGTTTGCTGTGTGTATCATATGGGACGGTGCCTCACCCTCGTGCACACCTCTGTGGTTCTCCTGTCTGTCTCCGTCAGACTGTGAGCCGCCCGGGGCCTGCCGCGCTCTGTGTGTGTCTCCTAGTGCAGCGCCGGCACCAAGCACGTGCTCAGTAAACAGTGCTGGACAGACCTCACCTGGTGGAAGTGTCGTCTTTGGATTCCTCCCCACCTTGGGCTCTTTGCCTCCTGATAACACGTGGTTGGTGTAAATGACCAAAAATGGGAAAAAAATGAAGGTTCCCCAATAATAAAAGTGGTTTTAAGGGTGTGGGTATACTCTCCTGACTTTCATGTCCTGGTTGCTCTTTTTTTTTAAGAGAATTTGGAAATTTGATGGCTTGGATTTGTGGAAGAGACTTGCAGCGTGTAAACGGACCCTTCTCTCCATGGGAGGACACACGTGCTTTGCAGGGGGTTGGGGGGGGTCTTTCGAGGCCTTAGGGTGGCCTTCGTTCTTACTTTGTGACGTCCGGCTGGAGGGATGCTGCTGTTTGCCCTTATGTTGTGTTCCCTTAATGCTTTAAATATCCTGCTCAGGGACTCATGCAGTTCAAGACCTCTTTTTCTGTTGTACCTTTTTAAACCTAAAAACATTCAGCCAGTAAATTGTCTATAATACTCCTTCCCGTCATGGTTTTAGATCGTCTCCAGCTTCAAGACCACCACGTCGAGGGCCGTGTGCCAGCTCGTGAAGGAGTACATTGGCCACAGGGATGGTATCTGGGACGTCAGTGTGGCGAGGACACAGCCCGTGGTGCTGGGCACCGCGTCTGCTGGTGAGTCTGCAGCGAGCCCCTCCGCTTGCCGGGCGTGACGGCCCTGCCGGTGTCGGTGGCGGACCGGAGGCCGAGCATCACCGTCACCAAAGCAGTCAGCGCTGCCGTGCCCCGTTGGGCCTTGCCGCCGTGACGTGGTGTCGGGTGGGCGGACACTGGCCCTGGGGTCAGGCAGCTGCATCAGCCATCACTGTTCACGGCAGCATGAGGGAGCGTGTCTGTTACACAGACTAGGTATTTTTTTGACTGGCTTTCTTGTTAGTCACGGTCGAGCGCATATCTGCCTGAATTGATGTATAGCTGAGGGAGGGGCCTTGTGGTCTCTGAAGCGGGCCCGTTGCTCTAGGGTTTAGGTGGAAGCTGGACCACTGGTGGCCCTGTTTGCCTGTGGGACTCCTGGGGCAGGCGTCCGAGAGCCTTTTTTTCTCATTAAAGAAAAGATAGTTTTTGAAAGCCATCCAAGGTGCATAACCTAATACCCTTTCAGATAAAAATTGCTAAAGTTAAAAATGGTGCTCACTTGTTGAAAATGACTTTACCAGCCTGTGAGATGTTACTAGGTTCTACTTTTTGAAGTAGAAGTGGAAAATGTTGCAGCAGTTAGACCCATGAAGAAAGTTTTCTTTCTTGTTTGAAATTATATTCACACATAAGCTCCCCAGCGTGTTCTGGAAATTACAATTAGAAAGAAAAGAAAGGATTTTCCTGTTATGTAAGAGGAAAGGTCCAAAGGAATATTTGTATCTCAAATACTTGTAACTGGATTTGAATTTGCATTTCAGTGCTGCGTGATGCTTTGGAAAGTGTTAATTCAACAAAACAATGGAGCTGTCACTTAAGGACTCGGGGGAGGTGCAGTCCTTGTGACAGTACGTTGAGGGTCCAAGTCTCTGGGTTTCCGTTTGCCACTTCCCTGACCTCGGACAGGTCACCAGCTTCTGTCTTCTGGGAAATGTTTTCTTTGGTCAGTTGAATTACAGAGTAGTATAGAGTTGCAGAGATACTAGTGATAATATAACTTCTCACTTATGTTAAAAAGACCATAAAATTGGTTATGGGTCAGTTACTCTTGTTTTTTGGATCTTGCAGATCACACGGCTCTGCTGTGGAGTATAGAGACGGGGAGGTGCCTCGTCAAGTACTCGGGCCACGTGGGGTCAGGTGAGCAACACAGGGTGGGCGGTGTCTTCTGATGGGAGGTGTGCTGATCTGGCTGTGGGGCCCACGGGCACTCGTGGGCGGTCAGAGCGATGCTGCCTGCGCAGCGGGAGCCTTGTTGGGGAATAGCATGCGAGTAGGAATTGTCTATGTTTCTTTTACCGTTGCCTAGAAAGCCGCATGTCAGCAAATTTGGAACTGAAATGTCTACTTTTGTCAAAGACTGTGTATTCATTTCAGAGGTTCCCTTTCAGGGTGATGTTGCTTTGCATGTAGTAGGGCCCAGGGAGGGCTGCCGTCCGTCCCCGGGCTTCCTCCCTGCAGGTAATGCACGGCGGTTGCAGCAGCTCTGCCCTGCCCCCTGAGCTGCCCCCATGCCTACACCTTGTGTTCTGACCGCATCTCGCCCACTTCCTTCCGGGTGCCCTTGGTGGTTCCTTCTTCCTGGCCTACTCTCCACTCCAGTCTGTCAGGTCGCCTCCCGGCTCCCTCTCCCCTCGCCAGCCACCGCCACAGCCCTCCCCTTCGTAGACACGCGCAGGTGGCGCCTGCCTTCTGCTTCCGTGGCCGCGTGTGCCCCACCTGCAGACTTCGCCCGGTGGGGGCACGTCTGTTGTCCTGTCTGGGCTGTGACCCACACTCTTCCCTCTCTCAGGGTCTCGTTCCCTCGGGGGTCCCTGCTGCCTTCTCACGCCCCTCCGCATGCAGCTCTGTCTCCACAGGGGGTGTCTGGGCGGGCGGGGTCGATGCTCACGGCTTTGCAGATGTTCTCAGGTGAACGTGTGCTGAGCCTTTGTTTCCCCACTGCGCGTTTATTCGTTGAAGAACATCGATACGGTGAAACTCGTACACATCGCCTAAAAAATAAGAGGGTGTTAGCAGCCTGTATAAAATGTTACCGCAGGCTCCTGCCTCTCCTTCGTACTCCATTTCACTTCCCCAAAAGTGAAGCCCCTTTTAACAGCTTTATGTATTCTGCTTTTTTCTCCCATTTTCCCAAATAGCCTATTTTATTGTTTGTGAGGTTTTGAGTCTTAGACAAGTGATTCTTACAGAGGCAGTGAGGACACACTCCCTTGCCACATAGGTTACTCTCCACTCTGTCCTTGCAAGTAGCTGCAGTGCGGTTCTTACTCAAATCTCAGTATGGCCACATGGGTATTGTTCACAGCTGCTCATGTACGTGCCCTCCTTGCAGGTGCCTTATTTTTATTTGGTCTGGTTTCTGTGTCTATTCCAAATCCATCCCCTCGCTCCACCCCTGTGGTCTGGCCACGGGATGACCGTCTGCTCCCATGGCCAGACTCGACAAGCGTCTCTGTTCCTTTGTTGTGGCTCTCGTCCCTTCCCTAGAGCCTCCCATGCCGCCGGACGGCTTCGACGCCCTGCTCTTCGTGGGCTGCCCTGCGTGTGTTCCTTCCACGTCCTGCGGCCAGCATGTGGGGTGCGGCGCTGCCCTGGGTGTGGTGAGGCTGGGTGACGGGAGTTGGGGCGCTCGCGTGTCTGGCCTTCCCTTCTCCCGAGGGTGCTGTCCTCCGGGCGCCATCTGTGTAGGGCTTGTGTCCTGGCTTTTGCTTTACCCACTATGTGGTGCTCTGATGACATGGTGAAGGTCCGTTTAACCCTGCTCCGCCCCACCCCGGGATTTCTCATCCATGTGACTCACCACAGGTGGTTTGACATGTGTCTGTCCTGGCTCGTTCCTCTCGTATCACCTGACCAAGCGCCCTCCTGTGCATCGGCCCCTCTGCCTCAAGGGTCCCATGCTGAGCGTTGCAGCTGCCCCTGCTGGAGCCCTCCCGAGTCAGGCCTGCTGTGCAGGAGATGGTGCTTTCTCCCATGTCTTGTTCCCTTTCACGTTTGTGTTAGAGTTAGGCCCACAAACAATAGATGAGGTGTCTTCGAAGCTCGTCGTGAAGACCGTTTGTCTCTGGTGTCCTCTCCCTTTCTGCTCCCTCTGTGGCCACTGTGTGTTGAGTTAGCTGCATGTTGGGGGCTGCTGCATGTCTTTAGGGTGCTCGCGGGGCTCGCCGTCCTTTTCTGCATTAGCCACAGTGCGCTGACTCTGGCGGGGGGATGGTGTCGCTGCAGCCCGCCCTCTGCTGGTGGCACCTGAGCTCGCCTCTGGTGCAGTTGTGGCACTGTCCCTTGGGTAAGATCAGTGCTCAGTTTTCACTTTATTAGACCTGTGCAAACACTGCTGACAGTTAGCCAGCACTGTGGCTGTGAGCAGTCATTAAGCACCCACTGTATGCCAGATTCTTGGCCGAGCACTCAGCGTGCGTTCTTTCGCATCTCACGGAGCCTGTAGAAACGTGGTGTCCATGCTCCCTGTGTCACTAGGAAGGTGCTCAAGGTCACACAGCCATCAGGGTGCAAAGTGGCCGCTGGTCTTACCAGTTGCTCCTTGGCACTGGGAGTGTTATGTTTATTGTAGGCATTATTTATGGTTTGCTGTTTTTAAGGAGGTCGTTTTCCACGAGTTCTTCCCACATTTTCTGTCGTCTAGAGTTAATAGTGAAAGCATCTTCTAGCATTTTCCAGTTCCTCAGAAAAACAGAATTCCAGGGGCGCCTGGGTGGCTCAGTCGTTGGGTGTCTGCCTTCGGCTCAGGTCATGATCCCAGGGTCCTGGGATCGAGCCCCACGTCGGGCTCCCTGCTCAGCGGGAAGCCTGCTTCTCCCTCTCCCACTCCCCCTGCTTGTGTTCTCTCTCTCCTGTCTCTCTCTCTCTGTCAAATAAATAAATAAAATCTTAAAAAAAAAAGGAAAAACAGAATTCCAGTGGCATAGCTGACAGAATCATCCTGAAGGCACTTGCTGAAGTTTGCTAAAACTTCCTGTGTATTCTGTGCACGCCGTGCGTGTCTTCCCTGTGTGGGTGTGAGGGCTGGCTGCCCCACGTGCCCTGACCCAGGTCAGCTCTGTGTTGGGGTGCCTGGAAGCCGCTCCTTTCATTCTTCCTGGGAGAGCTCGGTGGCAGGCAGGGAGGTTCCAGCAACCGGGTTCCAGTCTCGGCACACTCCAGCTGCCGTCTCGTCGCTAAACTGTCGGGACGAGGGGAAGGCTGCTCTTCTCTCCTGCTCCCTCATCCCAGCAAAGGAGCACCACCTGGGAAGACTTGGGCAGATTGCCACAACTGTCCACACTGATCCTGACTCTTCCCAAGCTGGCAGGCGCCTGCCAGCTTTGTCCGTTCCTGGGGTCTCCTGGAACGGGACAGGAGGCAGGGTGGCCTTTTGCCTGATGGGCTGGGCAGTCAGCCACGTCCCTACTATATTCTGTCTCTGTCTGTTGTCATAAGTGTTTTCATTTCTGTCCCGACTTACTTTTAACTCTAGGTGGCTTCCTTATCTATAAAAAGAAGTAGATTATTTATATTTTTCTTCCGCGTGTCCTACCTATACTTTGGCAGTGTGATAGTTGATAATTGTGTTTTCATGTATCTCTAGTCTCTTATATGTTTACTCATAGCTTAATTATATGGGAGGATCTAATATTGAACTCTTATAGTTCTTTTAACTTTTAAAGTCACCTTGTAGTTTGTGCTGTAGCTTTGATAAATATTGTTGATATGTTATTTTAAACCTGTTTTTGTAATATTTTTATTTTGCAGTAAATTCTATAAAGTTTCATCCATCTGAGCAGTTGGCTCTTACTGGTATGTTGATTTTTTCTTTATTGAACAAAATTATTGATAATTTTGAAATAGCTGTAGTCATCCCTTTCTCGTCCGTGCCTCATACGAAAGTCAGATGGTCATTGGTAGCCATTTTATGCAATACTCGAGGAATGGAGAAGGAAAAACATGTCAAATAGAACCTTTTTAAACCATAGTGGATTGTGAGTTAGATGAGCTTGACTCTCGTGTGAGATTGCAGGTGACCCACCGTGAGGTTGCCTTACAGAGCACGTGGTGGTCACCGGCCTTCCCGCTCACACTGTGGTATTTCTCAGAAGACTGACCTTGCTTTTCTCCTGCCCTGTCACTGCTGGCAAGTTCCTAATCCTGCATGCACCTGAAGCAGAGACGCGGAAATAGCCCCAGGTCATGGCGCTCTGCAGGGCCAGTGTTTTTACTTCTTTCTGGGGAGCGCTCCTGGGCCCTGGTAGCATGGGTTTGCCATAATTTTATGTTGGACGGAGGAGTCTTCCTGTAAAATCATCTGACACCTGATTTTTGGGGACCCTGACAGTAATCTTGAAGGATAAATGTTTGGTGAGTGGAGGTCAGTGAGCTTTCTTGTGAAGGACCAGAAGTAAATGTTCTCATCTTTGAGGGCCCCATGGTCCGTGTCACAACTTCTTAGCTCTGTGTTAGTGTGAAAGCAGCAGAGGGGGTGCCCAGGTGAGCGGCCATGGCTGTGGGCAGTAAGCCTTATTCTCACAGTGGGTTGTTGCCTGGCTTTGGCCTGTAGGCCAGATTTTGCTACCCTGGGGTAGAGGATGAAAATGGGGTTAATCAGGTGCTTTTCCATGTGAGCAGAGTATGGTGGGAAAGTCAATTTGAGAGCCTTCTGTGTGAACAGGCCTTGACCACAGTAGCTAGTTGATGCCTGAATGAACAATTGGAGAACTTTACACCTTGTGAAATGGTTTGGTGTGTGACTGTGAAGAGGGAGGGTGGAGGGAGACCAGTGACAACCAGAGGTGGGGCAGGGAGGAAATCAAGACATTCTCATAAGGGCTGATGGAAGCTGTAGCAGAGCATGTAGTGGGCTGGAGAGGGTCACGTGGGCCGATGCTAAGCGAGCTCGCAGGTCAGGCCATGAACTCGCTTGACACCACAACAAATGTGCCACAGTCCACGTGTGGCCGCTTTGGGGAACTTCAGCCACAGAGAGAAGTGGGTTCAGGCAGGTCCTCCGTCTGGCACATCTGTGGGCCGGTGTGTGCCCGTGTGTGCCCTTCACTGTCCTTTCTCTTTCCGGTCTCCAGTCTGAGCAGCACTTGGCACACTTGGCTCATGAAAGTAAGGTCTCAGTACTCAGTGGGGGCCCGGCAGGTTGTGAGCCCATCAGTGTGGAGTGGAAGAGAGCACACGTTTGCGTGAGACTCGCTTTTCTAAGATACCTCGAAACTACTGTGGTCATAAGCTGAAGTGTAGTTGGGTTCCAGTTTACTTAGGTTAGATAGATGGAGAATAAAATCTGTTTGTAAATTTCTTACAACTTTTTACCCTAAAATGAAAGGGGATATATTTAACCACTGTCTTAATTATATACATTTAGCCTGTTGTCGGTAGTATCATGCAGTCTCAGATGTAGCTCAGGATCACTGAGTTACAGAGCCTAGCAGAAAGCACATTTTACACATGGTGTGCACTTTGGGTAATTGTGCCCTAATTTCTGTCCTCAGCTTCTGGAGATCAGACTGCCCACATTTGGAGTTATGCCGTTCAGCTGCCGACACCCCAGCCCATTGCCGACACTACTGTAAGCAGCACCTTTACTTACCCTGAAAGCGCGACATGGGGTATGTTGGTAGGGTTCTGGACATTTGCAAAGTTTAGGATAAATTTATAATGTCTTACAGCCTGGATGTATGTGACCCCTCCCCTTGCCCCCCGCATCCCATAGTTTGAAGCCCTCACCTCCCAGTGTGACTGTATTTGGAGGTGGGCCTCTATGGAAGTAATAAGGTCCTGAGGCTGGGGCCTGATCCCAGAGGATCGGTGTTTCCTCTCCCTGCGGGTGCCCAGGAGAGGCCATGGGAGTATGTTGTGACAAGCCAGGAAGGCCACACCTTGATTGTGGCCACCCAGTCTTGGTGTTTTGTTCTGGCAGCCCGAACAGACCAAGACAGTGCCTTCCTTTGTGTGTGTGTTGTTTGTTCTCACCCCCCTTTCCATTGGCCATTAATGTTTAAAAATTTGTACGATTCCGTCCTATTTCTAAATATTTCGTGTATTTTAGACAACATGTCTTTCATGTAAGGTAAACAGTGTGTGTCATTATCACGTGGGTGAAGTTTTAACGCAGGTAATGGGAGGTTGCATATGGAGAGGAATGGTGGGTGGGTTTAAACCACAGAGCCTTCGATGACCTTTGTCCTGTCAGATGCAGCGGTTCCCCTAGCCCAGCACCCTGTGTTTATTGTCTTGCAGAGACCACCTCCCTAGCTTCCTCTGCAGGGCAGTGTTCTGCCATCTGGGGTTCACGAGTGGCTAGCCTGTCCCTATGTTGCGCACGCGGGTGGGGGCACACGCCGGGCAGCTGAGCGCAGCTGGAGCATGGTGTGCACTCTGGCTGTAGCTTTCAGGAGGACGGCAGTCACCCTGCGCTTGGGGTGCTTCCACCTTTGAACGTTCCGTGGTTGCTTTTTTTATTTTGTTCTAATTATTTTAAAAGATTTATTTATTTTGAGAGAGACAGAAAGAGAGCATGAGTGGGGGGAGAGAGTATCTCAAGCAGATTCCCCCCTGAGCAGGGACCCTGACGTGGGACTCGATCCCACGACCCTGAGATCATGACCTGAGTAGAAATCAAGAGTTGGACGCTCAACTGACTGAGCCATCCAGGTGCCCCCATTTCTTTTTTTAAAGCAGCTTAAACATCGGTTTCTTTGAAGATATATTAAGTAATTAATACATTCCAGTGATGAGTAAGAGTTTTCTTTAGTGAAGAGGTCCGAACAATTCTTTTTTTAAAGAGTTTATTCATTTGTCAGAGAGCGCGTGCAAGAGCAGGGGGGAGGGTCAGCGGGAGATGGAGAAGCAGACTCCCTGCTCAGCAGGCACCCCCTCCCCCCGCCCCCCCGCCCATGGGGCTCGGTCCCAGGACGCTGAGATCGTGACCTGAGCCAAAGGCAGACGCTTCACCGACTGAGCCACCCAGGCGCCCCTGAACAGTTCATTTTTAATTGAGCACGTTGTGTCTTTTGTCTTAACATGTTTTCCCCTTGTGGAATAACCAGACTGTCACCTGCTGTGGGAATTCACTCAGGAAGTAGTGCTGACAGGGCAGAGGGGAGGCGAGGGTTCACGCTCCGAAAGTTCAGAGAAGGTGTTAACACTGTATGGACTTGTTTTTTTTCTTTTTCTTTTTTTTTAAAGATTTATTTATTTATTTATTTGACAGAGAGAGACACAGCGAGGGAGGGAACACAAGCAGGGGGAGCGGGAGAGGGAGAAGCAGGCCTCCCGCGGAGCAGGGAGCCCGAAACAAAATAAGAAACATGCCAGTTTTGGCAGAGGAAGACATATTTCCAGTACTTATGTTACAAAAACTGAACGGATTATTTACAGTATTAAATCAGCTTTCTTTTTTTCTTTATGATTTTGCTTGCCTTGGGCTGCCTCAGGTTTTGGGGGTAATCCAGGAGAGCACCTTCCGAATGGAGCTAAGCCTGTGTCCATCAGTGACCAGAGCCGCCCCAGCAGCCCGGCCATATGGAGGGGTCGGAGGGGTTGGCACGGCCTGCCTTCTGTAGCCCCACCCAGCACAAACCCTGCTGCTAGTCATCATAAGCTTTTGCTGGCTGGTCTTGGCTCAGGTTTTCTTAACAGTTCTCCCGCATGTGAAAACAAAACTCTCATCTGCTAAGATTTTGTTCATTTTCATCAGTACAGCTTTTAGACAGATGTTTTGTCTTCTTTTCTTAAAAAGATTTTATATTTGAGAGAGAGGGAGGGAGAGAGCCTGAGAGCAGGGCCGGGGGGAGAGGCAGACTCCCTGCTGAGTGCAGAGCCCGACGTGGGGCTCGATCCCAGGACTCCAGGATCATGACCTGAGCTAAAGGCAGACGCTTAACGACTGAGCCACCCAGGCGCCCCTGTATGTTTTCTTTTTAATTTGGACCAGCGAATTTCACTTGGCGTCCACCACACTGATAAAGAAATATTTGCGTGGTGTAGTGGAAACAGTTCTAGATTATCTGTTAAGTCACCATGTACCACCAGTTGTGTGATGTTGACTAACTAATTTAACCTAGTGAGTGGCTTAATTTTCCTCTTTGGAAAGTAAAAATTGAAGCGAGTTACCTAAGCAGCTCGCAGGGGCCCTTCCTGCCCAGGAGCCCCGATTTCAGTGAGTGAGTCAGGGCTTCCTCAGTTCTGGGGCTGCTGGTGCTCACGAGGTACCTGGTGTGGACTTGGCAGTGCTGGACGTTCAGTTCCAGTGCTGCTGACAGTGAAGGCGGTTCAGCTGGAACAGATCGTCCCTAAGACACTAACGCATGAGCAGTTCTCACCCTCCACCCCCTGCCTTTTGTCATGTTAGTGTTAAAAGATCTTGTAATTATTCATGAATAGGATTTAGCACATTTGCATTTCAAGATATCTTTTCGTTCCTTGTGTAGTTTGGGAAGATGACTTCTGTAAAGGGTCTGTCACCTTTCCAACATGGATCCTGATAGCTAGACCTTTCTAAAGTGGGAGCTCCAGGCCACTCTTCTGAGACCCGAGGTCTCTCCCCTGGACCTGCGCTGAGGACATCCCTGCGTTCATGCTCACGCGCTACCTGTCCTTCCAGATACTTGGGGAGGAGCCCAGTAGGTGCACTGCTGCGGGTCTGGGTGACTGGACAACACTCTCGGGACGTTTGGGGTTGTCTTCGACGTGTCTCTTCTTCCCCTTCCTGTCTTCCTCTTCCACCGTTTCCACTGCTCTGACAGCTTACTGCTGCCGATTCTTATGTGACGCTTTGGACGCACTTCTCCTTGTCCCCGGGGTACCCCTTCTGTGACATCAACCCAGAGATGTCTGTCGAGCCGTGGCCCCACCCAGCACCCCTCTTCTGCACCTGCCCGAGGCACCGTCCAGACCACCCCTGCCTGCTGGGGGCAGTGAGGTCGGGAAGCTCCTCAGGGGCGGCCGTGGGAGCTGAGAAGCCTTGTGGCCCAGGGGCTGGTGTTTCCTGGAGGAAAGCCCCGAGTTGGGGCATCCGCATGCGGGATTTGTAGTGACCGTGTTGCTCCTCCTGTCTGGAAGTGGATACCAGTCAGGGTCCTTTCACCTTGAAAACAGTACACTTCTGGGACCTGTCTTCATGTTGAGGGGCGGGTGCTGTGTTAACCCCGAGCTGTCTTCACGTCTAGTGCCCACCCCTAACTAACTAGTCTCCCTGTCTCAGGCCTGGCTGCTCACATTGTATTCTGTCTGCACAATGTCAGGAGTGGTCTTTGTGGAGTTGCACTTGTCACCTTGGCTAGCCCTTTGCCAGCCCCTAGTCCTTAGTTTGTGGCTCTCCCCGGCTCCAGCCCCGACGGGACGCTCTTGCTGTACCTCCCTCTCCATGGGTCTGCTCGGCCTTTTTCCTGGGTGCTCTCCACCCTACTGATGCTGCTCCGCACAGACCACCCGCCTGACTCAGAGTGCCTTGCATTTTGCTTCGTAGTCTTTACTGTGCTTTGAAATCGGTAACTCTGCATAATTACGTATGTCTGACTTCACTGCGAGATTGTGAGTCCCTGTCTCCCTGGAGAAATCCCACCTGTGGTTCCACCAGGCTTTTCCTCAGCTTCCTGCACTTGACCTGTGAGCGCCCCGAGCTGTGCGCTCCCGGCATGCTGCCTCAGTTGGCCACTGCCACACTCCTCAAGGATTTCCACCTCCCTGCCTGCCTTTTGTCCAGATCCTTGTAGGCAGTACTCAGACCTGGCACAGCGGCATCCATCCTTAATGCCCGGTTTTCCTCCACAGACCTTGGGCCTTTCATGCTCTGAGTACCTCCTGTTGGCTCGGCTGTGTGTCCCTGCTGCGTGGGGCTGTGCTCATCGGCATCCCCTCCACGCTGCCCAGCTCAGTCAGCCCTTGGACTCCTTATTTACATTTGATGCTCTGATCCTCTGTTAACATCTGTGTTTCTCCCACTTCCTTTCTCTAGAGTCTTGTTGGTTGGGTCACATCCGGACCCGTGTGAGCTGTGCGCCTGTCGTTTCACCTCTGCCCCTCTGCCCCCGTGACCTTGTTGGTGCAGCGCAGTCTGCTCCTGTCGTGGGGCTTTTGCATCTGCTATTCCCTCGTCTGGGGCTGCTGTTCCCCGAAATGTCTGTGTGCCTTTCTCTCTTGTTTTCTTCATGTCCCACCTCAAATGTTACTTTAGCAGAGTCTTTTCCGGATAATTTTGTATAAAAGAGCAGCTTTTATGACTGTCCATCCCTTCATCTGCTTTATTTTCCTTACTAATGCTTATTACTGCCTGACTGTGTGTGTGTGAGACATATCTTTATACTGCGTGTGTGTATGTGTGACCTGTACCCCCCTTGTGTGTACATGTGACATATATCCTTGACCTATGTTCCTATGTGATGTTCACATGTGACCTGTATCTCTATACCGTGTGCGTGTATGTGGGACATAGTTCTCTGTACCCTGTCTTTAACACTAGTGTGTGTGATTAATGGTATATTATATACTTCCATACTAGTGTGTGGGCGATGCGTGCATGCATGCCCGTGTGTGTGGTCTGTCTTCCTTGCTAGCGTGTAAGCTCTGTGACACAAGGATGTTGTCGGTCCCTGGCTCCAGCGCTGTCCACACCGGCCTGTCCGTTGTTCTGGTTGTCCGTGTCAGACAGTGGTTCTCTCTCTCCTCTGCTCTGAGACTGGCATGTGGCCTGGCAGTGTGTAAGGGCCGGATAAAGATTCGTTGAAGGAGTAGATAAACATTTTTTTAAAGAGCCGAAGCCTTTTATGCTTTTATTTTAACTTTTGACAAAAGACCTCATTCATACTATAGGAAAATAGGTGAACTCTTGTATCTATTCCTATAGCAACGGGATTCTAAGTAGCTCCTGAGAATTGAAATGTTTCTTTTCTTATTGTGATAAATTACTGACTTTCAGTTACATTTTATTACATTTCTATTAATACATGGTGAAAACTCAAAATCATTTTATTTGCCATATTTTGGTTAGTGGAAGTGGACGGTAGCTCATTTGATGTCATAGCGGCCTTAGTTTTTTTTCTTATACTTGGTCGTGGTTTTTAGCCAAGTAGATAATCATACAATTGATAAATTGTGAGCTCCAGTTAAATACCAGATACTGTGCTGGTAGTGGTCATAATGAGGATCGAGTCCTAGACAGACAAATGACAACAGTCTGATTGTGTAGCCGTGTCAGAAAAGACGCAAGATTCCCAGGGAATTTCTTCTCTGCTCTCACCATCAGCAGCAGATCTGTGGCGAAGACGAAGTAGAGTGTTCTGATAAAGATGAGCCTGATGTGGACGCAGACGTGTCCAGTGACTGTCCTACCATCCGGGTGCCACTGACATCTCTTAAGAGCCACCAGGGAGTGGTCATAGCTGCTGACTGGCTGGTTGGGGGGAAGCAGGCGGTGACGGCCTCCTGGGACAGAACGGCAAATCTGTTCGACGTGGAGACGGCAGAACTTGTGCACTCTCTGACAGGTACTTTAAACATTTGCGTTTTCCAGTTGTGTTTTTTGATTGATGTGCATGTGTTTACATCTTACCTTGCCAATTCCCTCTTGTTCAGTTCCCATGGTACTCAGGTTGTGATTTTTCAAGGATTCTTTCTGAATTATAGAACTGTTTGTTAGCTAAATTTGTTCTGTCTTTAGGGGATTTAATTGTAGCACTTTATACCTAGATATTTGAAAAGCTCCCTATTGCTTTGTAGCAAATTTCCAGAAAATTAGTGTCTTAAGATAACAAGAATTTATAACGTCATGGTTTCCCTGGGTCAGGAGTTCTGGGCATATGCTCGCTGGCCCTCGTGGGTGAAGTGGTGTTTGCTGCCTGGGGCTATGATTTCATCTGAGGGTTAGAGTCCACCCTCCTACTTACCGTTGTTGGAAGGATTCATTTTGTTGTGGCCCATGGCTGAGGTCCCCGTATGGCTGAGGTCCTTATTTTCTTGCTGTCAGCTGGGGACTGCTCTTAGCATCCAGAGGGTGCCCTCAGGTCCCTCGTGGCCCCCTCTAGAGGTGTTTCCCCACATAGGTGTTTGCTGTCTCTCCAGCTTCCTGGAGAACATCTCTTCTAAAGGGCCCACCTGATTAGATCAGCCCACCCAGGACAGTTTCTTTTGATTAACTTAAAGCCACCTGATTTGGAGGTCTCAGTTACATCTGCAAAATCTGTTTTGCCTTTTAATGTACCGAGCTTACCGGAGTGATATCTCGTCACATTTACAGGTTCTGCCCAAACTCAAGGGAAGGTATCATCCAGGGTGTGTATACCAGGGATGGGGGTCACCGGGACATCTTAGAATTAAGCCCACCTCAGATGTTTTTGCAAATTTGTCAGTAAGTGAATTTCCTCATTGAGTGTTAAAGATTGTATTTTACTAAGGGCTCCACATATCATATTATTAGAAGTTATTCTGGAAGTGAAGAATTAAGACTTAATCTGTTCACGCACTTAGCCTGCTAAAGAGATTTGCCAGACCTTCTAACTGTCAGGATCAGGAAGTGGGTTACACTCACACTCCTTTTCCTGACCCCTTTAAATGCATGAATGAAAGGACTTCCAGTTCCTGAGGGAAAACCAATCCCACCGTGAGCTCACATGCTGTTTTTAAGTGATTTCTTACTTTTTCCTGCCTCTATTCACATTTACAAAATTAGCAGTAGAGACCATAAAGACTTGTTTGATTCTTGTGTTCTTAAGAAAACATCACTCTAACTGTACCTGCAGGTGGATGATCTTGCATTTTTGTCATCTTTGGTTGTAGGGCATGACCAGGAGCTAACGCACTGTTGCACACACCCCACCCAGCGGCTTGTGGTGACCTCCTCCCGGGACACGACTTTCCGTCTTTGGGATTTCAGGGACCCTTCCATCCACTCCGTGAATGTCTTCCAGGGCCATACGGAGTGAGTCACAGTCATTTAGAGATCTTTCTTTAACTATTCATGAAAAAGGTTTTGCCGGGTGGATATTAAAACTTAATTCTTACCTTAATTTCCAGCTCCACTGTCTTCCCAAATGGCTGTTCTTTTCCTAAACGTTTAGCTCCATTTGTATATTTGCAAGAACTTAGAAGACAAAGTCACTGAAGTTCCCACAAGGAATTGGATGGGGGTAGAATGGGGCAGTGGGGGAGATCAGGAAATACACTAGGGTTGGTGGCACACATGTCCTCTGCTGAGAGGGCCCAGCCAGAGCTGGGGAAGAGACACACGTGTGTGTGCGTGTGTGCAACATGCGCACACACTCACCCAGACACACGCACGCACGCGCGCTCACACACAAATGCACATGTGCTCTCACACACCCATGCACACACTGTCACACACAATCTCTCCCATGCACAAACACTATCACACACTCACACTCAGATTGTCACACATGCACACGCTCACACTACCACACATGCACACACTATCACACACTATCTCACTCTCACACAACACTCATGCTCACACGCGTGCACACACACTCTCTCTCACACATGCACACACCCCGGCCTTCATCTTGTAGTGCCTCCCTCTGCTTGGCCATCTCTTGGGCAGCTCAGGCATAACTGTGTCTTAACAGAGCTCTTATTTCCTTCCAAAAACTTTTCTCCTGCCCTGACCATTCCTGACAAATTACATGGGCCTCTGTTCGGTTACTCGTCCGACAGATGTCCCTAGTTCCCCACTGTGCCCCATCCATTCCACGAGTCCTACCTCCTGACTGTCTTGTCACCTGTTCCCATGCCACTATTGTCCCTGCACGCTGCCCCTCAGGACCGGACTGTGCCTGTTTCTTCATGGCCGTGTGTGTCCTGCTTGAGCTTCTGCATGTCCAGAAAAGCTCCCGCATGCTCAGTAAACACGTCTTAATGAATGAACACTTGCTTATTTGGCTGCTTGAAAATATGGGTTTTCTTCGTTCTTTCGTATGATGCAGCAAATGAGTCTGTTTTATGTGTTAGAACGCTAAGATTTCATGTTCAGGATTAATGAAATGTTCGCAAGGAAACTGGGACAGAGCTTTTTAAGAAGCTTGAGATTGGAAAAGAAGTGGTGTCTTGCATCTGAGGTGTGCTGCAGTGTTGGTGGTTGAAATCTCGGTGTGTTCTGAGAGTTTCCACGGTTATTGAATCGTGATTTTTTGCTACCAACTAGAGTAACCATAGCCCCGAAACAGAAGATGGCTAGTTCTCTGTGGTTGATCAAGGGCAGTGTTGCCGCCTGTGTGTAGGGCGGCTCTTGCCATGCCCCTACTTTCACAGGTTTCGGTCCCGCGGGCTCTGCTCTTGGCCATGGAGGGAACGGCTTCCAGTGAGCCTCGCCTGGACAATGCGGAGGGGGCAGCGGTGGGGCCGAGGGTGCCAGGAGCAGCTGCCCGTCATCTGTATTTGGGGAGAGGTTGCTCTGGGCCTGGAGGACGGGAGGAGCCCTGTGCTGTCTGTCACTGGTGTGTAAGGTGAGCTGGGCCCCCTGCACGCACAGCCCTACGCTGAGCCTGCACTTCTCTTCTTCCCGGTGTTTTATTTTGAAGAGTTTCAAGCATAGGTGAAATTGAGGGGAGTAGGGCAGGTGGTGTCATGTTTCGCATGTCTGATTGGGGGTGTCGTGTTGCAGCTGGTGGATATATGAAATAATGGCTGTTTTTGAAGAGGTATAATTATGAGGGAACATAATTGATTATGAAGGCTTGTTATTCTCACGGAATCAGGAGTTCCGTAGAGGAGGCGTGGACCTGTGTCTGTCCCTGGGCCTCTTGCATCAGCATCCCCCAGGATAGAAGTTGATGCTTCCGTTCACTATAGCTGAGGACATGTGGGCTTTTGAGCAAACACAGAAGATTTATACAAGCACCACTCTTAATCAGACCATGTGCGTTTTCTCTTAACCGAATTAGGATGAATGAGCATGTTCGTTGACGTGTAGTTACAAAGATAAGGAAACGTTCTCCCTTTGGCGCTGATTTCCCGTGGTAAGGTTCAGAGAAGGGGAGGTTTTACCTTTTTTTAAGCCTTTGGGAATTGGCAGGGCCCAGCTGGGGCTTGTTTCCTGTGGCTGCAGCCCGAGTCTGTCCTCTGTTCCCTCATCATGATTGTGTGCAGGTGGGAGCCTCTGCTCCCACAGTGTGGAGAGGCCCCTGCCTGGTAAGACCCCACGCTGCATGGTCAGCAGGTGGGGCTGCAGCCTGCGTGATCCCTACTAAACAACCTTCCTGTGTTCTGATTGCCGTAAGCCTCTGCGAATCATTGCAGTTCGGAAGAGCAGGAGGTGAGACATGGATAGGGTGTTTAGGTGAGCCTCTTCTTAGTCAATAACTGTTGCTTTCTTGTCTCTGGCGGGGGCTCTCTAGGTTTGAGCTCATAGGACAAATAAATCCTACGCAGTATGGTACGTGTGCAAGTGATGTCAGCATGTGCCCACCCAAGGGCATGCTTTCTTTTAGAACACAGGAGCCTAAGTCCCGACTAAGTGCACAGGAGCGGCTGATTTTGACTGTGTGTTCAGTTTAATCACTCACCTGTGATGTTCTGAGTGTGGCTTCTCAGACACACTAGGCTCTCCTTCCTCCCCTCAAACCTTTGGTCCCTCTGACAGATGCCCCTGCTGCACCCGTCTCTTCCCACTGGCCACGGCTGCCATCACGGACCCATGGCCGCCTCTCTGGCATCCATCGGTGCTCACCACTGTAGGAAATAAGTCACACTGTTCTCTCTCGAGCTGTCTTCTAGCCTGGGAGGTAACTTGGTTTCCTGGGGTGATTTTCTTGAGTTCTTTTAACCCGTTTCTTTTCTGAACATGAAAAGCACAGCTCCGACAAGAGCTTTTCCATTCCTTACTTGTTGGTGTCACCTGAAGAGTTATAGGCGGAGTGTTCTTTTGGTGGATCATTGCTTAAGCAGAGGCAGTGTTTCTTAAAAATACATGACCACGTATTTCACTTTGAGATGATGTGGGACACACTATGCAAAACTACTATCTTAGGGCATGTTTTCATCTATAGGAACTCATCACATATTAAGTAAAGTTAGGTTAGAATCTGATGTTTTATAATGTCATTTACTTAGTTGTCCAGTTATTTTGAATTTCTGTATGTTGGGTTTTCTTGTTCTTTTCTTTCTTTTTTTTTTTTTTTAAGGTTTATTTGAAAGAAGAGAGCACAAGCAGGGGGTTGAGCAGAGGCAGAGGGAGAAGCAGGCTCTCCGTAGATCAGGGAGCCCGATGCGGGACTCGATCCCAGGACCCTGGGACCATGACCTGAGCCGAAGGCAGACGCTTAACGACTGAGCCACCCAGGTGTCCGATGTGTTCGGTTTTCTTGAGGCAAGATGTAGCTGTATAGGTTTCAAGATTATTGGCCTAATTTTATAATTTGATTTTTCTGGGGTCTGGGAGAGATTTTTTCCTTTTCATTTTGTCGTACTGTTACCTGTGCTGCTGCGAATTCTGTGCCTTTTGGTAAAGGAAGAGTTTGAGATGTAGCGCCTCGAAGTTTGTGCTGCCGTGATTTCTGCTTGACATAAGCTCTGTGTAAGGTTCTCATTGGAAACGTTTAGAAGGCCAAATAGTGTTTTTTCCGTCTTTTGTGTTCCCTTTCAGTTTTCACTGTGTATTGTGAAAGCCCTTTATTATAATAGGAACGTTACTGTGATAGGATTTCCTCAGCGCAGCTCTGGCTGTGACTGTGGGAGCGGCTGCCGGTCGGGCCCAGGGTGCACCGAGTTCCGCCAAGGTGGATTTTAGATACTTTATGTCACTGGTTGTTTTCCCAATAGCAGGAATGAGAAATTGTGTGTACTCTTCTTGGAAAGAATAAAAAGATTTAACTGAAGTGTTTTGGAATGTCAGGAATTTGAACTATCAGCGGTTTGTTTTCGTAATTTCTGTCTTCATCGTCAGGAGATTGAACTGAAATCCAGTGCTTTTCATCTGAAATCAGCTAAATCCTTCCATGTTCGTGTGTGCGTCCCGACAGTAGGATTCAGTCAGTGAGCTGTGTGGGGAAGGCTTGTGCTGTGAAGGACAGCTTGCCCTTCCCTTCCCGAACAGTGGTGCATGCTCCGGGTGGTGGGGTGCAGCACCCCACTGATCCCAGCCGGACTCTGGCCTTGTGGGTTGTGCATACAGAGACCTTCTGCAAGAGGCTTTGATGGTAATAAAGCTCATCGTAAGGTTCAGTCCACTAACTGTCCTTTGAAAGGAACATGAGAGCTGCCAAAATCTGGATTGTCCTCTAACAGGAGGTCCTGGCTTCCTCCCTCCTGGCACTGCCCTCCTCTGTGGGTCGTGGTGAAGGGCCCCCCACTTTTCTTAGTTTTTGTTTTGTTTCAATTGCTATAAAAAGGGACTGACAGTTGAGGCAGTCACTGGTCATTAAGCTTCCTCCGTGGGTGGCCAATGACTCCAGTCTGTACCCAGCTGACAGTATTCATAAGTGTGAGTAAACTCTGGCATTGAAGAAACTCTGAAATTAACTCAACATGGGTAAAATATCTGAGAATGCAAAGTTGGTTTTTTTTTTTTCTTCCTGTTTTGCTTTAATTCTTCCCATATGATTATAACTTTATCCTCCAAATGTGAACTTTGGTGTTTTCTTCTAAAGAAAACAAAACACCACATCTAACAAAACAAAATTAAAAAAAAAAAAATCAGATGAGAAATGATAATGGTTGCTCTAAAGCTAAGACATTTTCATATGCTTTTATTCCCAAATAACCAGGGAAGGTATTTAATACTAAATACCAAATTCTCGGTCATATATGTATGAGATGAAAATAGCTTTAAATTTTGTGTCATGCGATTAGCAGTTTTCTTTGCTTTTGAAGAGAAAAAGCATTTTTTTTAAAGATTTTATTTTCTTATTATTTACTTGAGGGAGAGAGTGCGTGACAGAGAGAGAGCATGAGAAGGGGGAGAGTCAG